GATGACTTTACGAATTATTATATGGATTTAGATTTAGCACTGAAGAATGGTGATAACTGGGATGTAAATGGTAACGATTTACGCGATGAAATAAAATATTTTGTGCCGTATCTGCAATGATATAACAAATGCGATTCCATTACAAAGTTGAAATGTGCTGTCTGTACTGCACGATTCCTTCCCGAAAATTGTCAATAGAACACAGAATATGAGAAAAATTAGATTTTGACGATGTAATTAAAGATTTCGCTGAAATCAAAGCACGAAGAATAAATTATCATATAATTCTGTTTAATTAATACTTTTCTTATTTTATATATCCGAACTTCTTAATATTTTAAAATTATATAATGTATATTTTTGAATTAATTACATTATATTGAATTAATTACGGCGTCTGTGCATGTAATAATTCCTAGAAATTAGACCTATAGAAATGGGCGGTAAAATTACGATTATGGTAAATCTATTTATATGAATTGTAAAAGAAGTGAGCTATAAATAATAGACATGGATTTACGTAAATGATTTTATTATTGCGATTTTAATAATGCGAACAATGTAAGATTTTTTAACAATATTTTCAAAACTAAATAATTATAGAAGTGCTTAAAGTTTATTTTAAAGCCAAAATTATCAATAAATATGATGAATATGCATGATATATCAATGGTAATTTTACCGTTAATTATTTTAATGAATGCTCCTGTGGGGCAAAACTATAAGATACAGCTGAAAATGAAACCCAAACCCACGAGTAAACCAAGCTTGTCGCTCTTCAGTTTGTCAACTGATAAAAATGCAGCATACAGTGAACAGTTGAAGAATGTGTTATTGTCATCACACTTTAAAAAATACAATGGCATATTTGTTCCACGAAGTAGGTCGATATTTCAAAAATTGGACTGGGTCGTAAGACCAAACAAACATAAACAGAAAAGTAAAGAATTACGAAGGGACATGGATGAAGATTACAATGAATTTGAGCAAAAGCAAGATATAACTAAGCAGGGAATATTTAAAAATTCAAGAAATGAAGTTCCGAAGGTTTCTTCATTTATAGAAAATTACCAAAAGTACAGGGAGTGGTATTTTAAGCATAAATATACAAATAAAAATCCCGAGAAAAAAGACGGAATGGATCAAGCAAGAAAATTGAAGGAACATTTTAAGTTTTCGGAAAAGAGTAGCGATCAAAATCGTTTTAATAGAATGCTAATTGGTCCAATCAGACAGAAAGGTAATGAATATAAAATATCATTATCTCTTCATTTTACTCTGTAGATCGGTAATACTAATCATATCGTATGCTTTTTCAAGATCCAAAAACAGGGCAAACACTTTATGTCTTTTTTTGAGCAACTGGATTTGAATTAATGACAGCAATACAAAGATGGCTGTCTGAGTACCTCCCTCTTCTACAAATGCAAATTGTGTATTATTTCTATAATTATTCGCCGCTGTCCAGTAATTAAATTTGTCAGCTAATACTCCAGTAAATACTTTACGTAGACAGGACAGAAGGGCTATTGGTCTGTAATTGGTTGGTTCTTGTTTGTTCCCTTGTTTAAATATCATAGTAAAAATAACTTCGTTCCATTTTTCCGGTATTATACTATTACTATAGAATTGATTAAATTGTCTAGTTAAATATCTTATGATTTCTATTGGCAACATTTTAATGATTGAATTTGGTATTATGTCCGATCCTGGAGTTGATTTGTCTTTAAGATTTTTGATACAATCCTGTACTTCTTCTATCTTGATTATCTCATCTTGCTGAATTTCTGGTCTTGTTTTAGTTCCTATATATTTTTTACAAACATTTTTCTGATAGTTCTCAGAGAATTTATTGTAGTATTTAAGCCAAATGTTATATTCTACTTTAGTCTGTTTTTCCAATCCTAACTTTCTTTTACGAAAACTATTAATTATTTTCCAGAAAACTCTCGAATCATTAGCTTCTGATAGTTTCTTACTGATTTTTGAAAAATATAATTTTTTCTTGGCTTTAATTAGATTGTTATACATTTTTTTATATTTTAAATAATTCATTAGTGCTTTACTGGTATTTGTTCTTCTAAAGATTTGTAAACACTTTTGTTTTTTAATTTTATAGCCATAACATGTACTATCGTACCATTCACATTTGAATATTTTACCATTTTGTTGTATACAATTTTTGTATCTATATTCCTCTAATTTTGTTATAATACTCCGATAATTTTCTATTGGATCATTTTCTTTTTCCAATGATAACATCTCTCCAATCATATCATCAAATTTATTCAAGATTTTTTGTTTATTATATGATGGTCTTAATTCCAGATTAATAGAATGACTCTGTTCACAATTATATATATTATTACTTATTTTCTCATATATTGTTAACTCTAACTGAATAGGAAAATGATCTGCAATGTCGTTTTCTAGAACCTTCAAATAGTTACAACAATTTATCATTTCTTCTGAGCAGATAATGTAATCTACTATAGATTTCCCACTTGGAGAGACAAAAGTAATTTCTGCAGGGGTGTCACCTCTCATTCTACCATTTAGAATTATTAGTTGGTTATTATCAATAAATTCTAAGAGTGCTCTTCCCCCTGTGTTTAACACTTTATCTTTGGATATTCTCTTATTGACTAAATTTTCAAACGTCTGACAAAATATGGTATCAGTAACTTCACCAATACGTGCATTTAAATCACCACCTATTATCCACATTTGTGTCAGATTAGACCATCTATCCAAGACCTTTTGTACTTCATTTAGAATTGGTTTCTTCTCAATAGAAGGTGGTATATATATTCCTATTACTCCCATATATGTGTATGACCATCTCATTTTTATTTTATTCTCTAGTTTTATTATTACAGCAATAACATGGTCCGTTGTATATTGTAAAAATATTTCACCAAATCTTTTCTTAATTAGTAGTAGAATTCCACCTGATGGACGTCCAAATTTATTTTTTCGTTGAGCATTACTAATTATTATATTATTGTCTTGTTCTAGATATTTTATTTCCATTTCACTAAATTTTATAATCCAGGTTTCTAAAAGTCCAATTATTTCATTTGAATCCAGAAATTCTCTTATTGAGGTTTTAAATAATTTCCCTCTTAGTCCTTGAATATTCCAGAAGTTTATCGTCACTTTATTTTTTACCCTTCTTGGAGTTTCTACTTTTTTCTCACTCAAATCATTTACTTTGACTATTAATCAGGGCTGTGGAGTCGGAGTCGGAGTCGTGGAGTTTTGGTGTTTTAGCCGGAGTTGGAGTCGGAGTCAGAGTCGGATGGTAAGGAAAAGTCGGAGTTGGAGTCGGTAGATTTTTACGCGACTCCACAGCCCTGGCAGGATTGTGGACTCGGAGTCGGAGTCGGAGTCAGATTGGTAAGGAAAAGTCGGAGTCGGAGTCGGTAGATTTTTACGCGACTCCACAGCCCTGCTATTAATTTATCTCCACTCATTTTCTTGTTTTTATTCTCCATATTATTAGCCATTTTCCTTTTCTTCTGTATTGTTCTTAAATTTTGATTTATTTTTGTTAATCTTGTATTATACTTATCTCTAAAAAATGATTTAACTGAATTATTTCTTTGGTATTCAAATCATATGTATAGGCTACATTATATTATTTTTTAAAAAATAATCATCTCTAATTTTTATCTTATCATCCGACTTCTCCAGTTTAATCATTTTTAATAATAATTTTCTCCTGATTCTAGATCTATAACATAAGTCCGTTGATATTATTATTTTTTTATTTTCGTCCGTCATTTTCGGTCTTGTGGTCCAAAATTTGTTCAGAATTAGATTTCTATCTTTAACCGATTCGGTCATAACCTTAATTACTTGATTATTTCTTCTATTTCCTATTTGAATAAGTCCTTCGATTTCTATATCATTAAGTTCTAAGTTAACTTTTATAAATTTTTTAAATTCTTCTACATATTCCGAGGTTTTAAATGGAAAATTAAATATAACTAAATTCTTCTTAGTTCTCTCGTTTAACATTTTATCAATTTCAAAATCCACCATACCTTTTAATTTACTGTACGAGTCTGTTCTTTCTTCTAATAAACGTATTTTTTTACACATATCTTTCAACTCTTACTTGAGCTTTAAATTTTCTTCGTTCATTTTGTTGATTTCAGCTTTCATGGAACGGATTTCGAAGTTTAAACTATCAAATTTGTCTTGGATTAATTCATAAACCGATTTAAGTGAGTATTCGGGTTCATTAGTCTTTGTTAGTAAATCTTCTTACGGTTCGAAAAAGTCTTTTATCGTAGCGTACCTCGAGATATCAGTAATATTCTTGGAACGTTCCTCAATTAAATATTCCTCTCCTGACATTTCGCTTGTCTGAATATTTTCTTCTATATCTCTTGTATGCTCTCTACGTGGTCTCCCTCGTCCCCTTTTTTGCATAACTGCTTGACTTGGTATTGGAGGAGATCGAGGAAAAGGTCCGGGATTTAGCTCAATGCCAGCAATAATTAGTAAAATAAAAATTATTATTCGAGTTAATGAAACATTTAAACAACTTATTTCAGTTCTACACTTAATATTCTGTTGTAAAAATTCCATGTCTAACGTCGCCACAACCAGGGTATCATTACTGTATTTAAAAAGTTTTTATACAATTGTTATAGAATGTTGGAAACTTGCCGAAGATTGGCTTACATGTCTGAAACACACAAAAAGAGTGTACAGGTAAAAATAAAGATATTTTGTGGATTTTTTACTCTTAAAATTTTGTTTTTTTTTAGTAGCTTACATCACACAAGGAACTCTTATTGACTTAGACTTTATAACTGGATGTGGGAAAAAGGAGGCTTAAAAAAATCAACAGAAATTGATAACGGAAACGATCATGTACGAGGAAATATATATAAAAAAGGATGTTTGTTTGTTCGCTATGCATTCTAGGCCGTTAGTGCAATTGCTACGAAACTCGGCAGTTACGTTCAATTACTTTCAACTGACATAATGTCGTAATCCCACCCCAAAATATATATTGAATTTTTGTAAATTAATTAATTTCTATCTGCATTCAATTTACTAATTTTTACGTAGCGCCATCTATTGGCAAAAATTTAGTAAAATCATAAACTAAATATAATTCTTGCAAAAAATAGGATATAAAATAGGATATAATTTGTAAATATATATACACACACTA